AGGAGCCTTGAAGGCATTGAGAATTGCATTATTTCCCACAGCCAGTCCTGCAGCTTCTGAATGTGGACTTCTTCACCAAGTGAAAGGTCACTCGCCATGGAGGTGAATTAACCACTCAGGCCCTGTGCTAACACAACAGAGAGGGGATATTGCATTTCCTTGAAAGACTAGTCACAGGTAGGTGCAGGTGTGAGAGAAGGGTAGAGATGGGATTTGATTTGCAATATACTCAAATCCAGGCTACCATGGGGTCATAAAATGGGGTTCTATGAGAAACCGTAGACGAGATGAATGCACGCTCAACTCTTACGGCAAAATACAACCAAGGTAATTCTCCTAACTCAAAGATTGGTACCAGGCAAGGTATCCACTTTTAAAAATGGGACTCTTCTAGAGTGTGGGTACGCCAAGATGGAACTCCCTATGGTATTTGCTGCTGTGTCCATTCAGTGTCTGGCCCAGGAGACGTCTAACTAGTGGTTATAAGGATACAGCCCCCTTCATCAGTGTCAGGAACACAGAAAGGAGTGCTGAAATGCCACGAGCCAAGCACAAGCCATCCATGGCGTCCCCTCCCTCACCAGCACACCCCCCAAGCCAGTGAAGCTCAATGTTTAGCTTTATTGGCAAGTAAAGAAAACACAATAACAAAGTTGTTTTTGTTTTAAGTCCTGACTACCCAGCTGCACTGCTGGAACAATCAACCTAAACTTCTGGTTTTCAAACCCTGCAGATGAGATGGAACCGAGCTGAGCTGAGGATAAAAGTTGGCTTTACACCACACACACCCCTTTCGGAAGTGGTTGACCTTGATTGTTATTTAAATACTGAATTCAGACCCCAGAGTGTTTACTCCCAACCATAATTACTGCCTTGTCTGTGTGTGTGTGTGTGTGTGTGTGTGTGTGTGTGTGTGCTTTGTCTGTCTCGCTCGCATGCTCTGTGTGTGTGTATGTGGTATCTTTCTCGGTGTATGTATCTGTCTGTGTGTGGTGTGCCTGTCTGTCACTGTCTCTCTCTGGTGTAT